TATAGTATTTTTAATTTAATATCTAAAATATTATAATTAGTCTGTAAGAAATCAATTCTGTAGACTAAACTAAATAAATAAATAAATTGTCTTCGCCATCGGCGAAAGGAAAGTTATCGGGCGATAAGGGTCTTCCCTGCTGGCCGGTATCACCAATTTTCAAGATGCCTGGAATAATGAGAGTGATCATAGACCGATTGAGTGCCTTGGTAAGGTAATCTACTCCCGCAGGATCTAAATTTTTCAGCATCAGCATGTACATTCCAGCGGGTCCTATGGCTTTAAAGGCTTTCGCCTTCCCGTTGGCTACCTCAACCTCACCACTGGTGAAAACAAGAGTCATTCTAGATGTTGGTAGTTTGTTCAGTCTTCTGATAATTCGACGTTTGGCTTTGTCCGCCAGAGGATGCAGCGTAAATTGTCGGCTAAAGTAACTCATGCATCGCTCCGTGTCCGACGAGGTGCGATCGCCGAAAGAGAAAGGGAGAAAGGTATTAGTTGAGTGGGATTGAGGTGGCATGTGAAAGGTGGTTGGTATCGTGCTGGGAGTCTCCACTTGCTGAGAACTCGTTGGGGATATTGGGGTCGAGTCTGGACTAATAGCTGTTGAGGCGGCTACAGTATACTGCCCGTAACTGGGTCAGGGTAACGCGGGTTTCTCTTGGCAGTTCAAGCTCCTTTTTTGGTACAGATTGTGATTGGGCTGGTGGCTGCCGTTGATCGCTGGTTGGTATGTCGTCGTGTCCAGTGGTTGGTCGATATGAGTCTGAAGTACCTGGTCGGAGGCTCCTCCTCTAGAAGTGTCATTTAGGGTGGTCACGTCTGTGTACACCACCAGAAGCTGCTGACGCTTCGTCGGGTTGGACTGTGACAAAGCTTCCTCACATCAGAGGTGAAGTTACAAGTCTTCAGACGCTCGAGAGTAAGTTATATCCTACAAATCGGTGTATATCTGATTAAAATCGAGGAAACGGTGCCCTCAAAAATGAGTTTAAAATTTTATTGTGGTGTATTTACGTATTGTTAGACATACATTTTTTCTTTTAAACTACCAAGCGACCATCAGAATGATTTACCAATAGAATGATCACCTCCATGCTCGTTAAGAAGGCGCGAATGAACTGGCTAGGGAAACCGGAACCATTTTATTTGTCTTACTTACAATTACCAAGTGGCCAAACTCATAGCGCCACAAGACCAGGCCTTAGACAGACAAGGATCTTTGGCTATACTTTTGCTAGAAGGAACCTAAATCTTTTGAATAGGGCAACAAAAAAATTAAGTTGCTCACAGGGGACCACGGAGGCGTATTTCCTTCGCTCCCATAGACGGGTCTACGGAACCGGAACAAACCACGTAAAGACGTAAAGAATAAGAACAACGCAAAACTGTATAAAAATTACGTTGACATAGGCTTTTGAAGCAATTATACAGGATATAAAAACCAAATTTTACAGGAGAGACGTTTTTTTGTTTTTTTCTTAATCCGTTTGGAAAATATCTTTGAAATTCTAAATGTAGTCTAAGCCCGGTTCAATACACGTCATAGACTAATTTTTATCTTCATTTAACTTAATTTGTAGGCGAAATTTGTGAATTTGACGCTTAAGTTAATTTCGCTGTCACCATGGCAGGCTACTGGCAAAAATTTGGCGCTTACGTTAATTGAATTTCCTCAAAAAACTTTGAAAAAACTTATTTTATTTTCTTTTTTGTACACATTGACATATATAAAAACATAAATAAATGTATAAAAATATATATTTTAATATATAAAAATATATATTTTAATTAAAAAAAAAATATATATATACATATATATATTTACAGTCAGTATTGACAGGTCACTACTAACTTCCATGTTGCTTACGTTATTTTTGCGGTAACTCAAAACAGCAGACGTCGCCTACGATAAAATTGAAAGTCGGATATCTCTGTGACTATGACGATTGCCGATAAAATCGTTGTTGTTGACCTGTTATGGGCTTAAGAACTATTCTGCATCAAAAAACTAATTTCGAAAAATATGTCGCTTACGTTAATTTCGCGGTTAGGGCTCGATATATTGGAGTACTTAATACGGCTTTCCCACGCCACCCCAATTACGTAGTTCGCTCTCTCATTCGTAATTCGC